TATATATTGTCATGTGTTTGAATTTCACGCGGCTAGGACAAAAGCTTATGCAAAAAAATTTACTCTACTACTGTATAAGTTTAGGGGATCAGCTAGGTTCGGCCACCTATAAAGAAGTAAAAATTACTCCAATAATTTTACTCCACCAATTTTCCTCCTTTCCGTTTACATTAATAGTGTCATTAGAGCAACTCCAATGCGCCGACCCATTTCGTCTGCACGCGTCCATTTGGGTTGTGGCGGACAGAAAAGTCGGCCCAACGCGCCGCGGACGCCCGTCCGCTTTTCGTCCGCATGCCGACCCATTTGCGGCCCATTTTTTAGCCTGGTTTGCGTAGATGCGCACACGAGACGGACGCGCGCCGCACGGGAACTACTCCCCCTGGCCCGCCAGTCGGTGCAAAGCAGCCACCATTCCCTCCACTTTACGAAAACCTCCCGCCAGCGCGCGCTCCCGGCCGCTCGCCATGGACGACGCCCTCGATGTCGCTGCCGGCCTCGCCTCCCTCGCCTCGTCTAGCCTCGCCTCCGCCCCCTCCGACAAAGGCAAGCCCCGTGCCCCTCGCAAGACCGCAGCGCCACCCAAGAAGAAGCTGACGCCCGAGGAGCGGGTCGTGCAGTTGGCCAAGAGGAAGGGTCGGAGGCACACAGCGGCCGCCGCTGCCCTCGCGTTGCGGCGGCAACAAGGGAGGCCATGTTCTACCTAGGGTTAAACCTTGGCCAGCACGGGCTCGTCAACGCCGCCGTGACCGCGGCCAGCACCGGCTCGTCCACGTTCCCTCGGATGGTGCTTCCGGAGTCGCCGCGCGTCAGCAACGCACCCAATCCCCGACTTCCACGTCTACCCGTAAGCCTCCCGACTCTCCAGGGAATGCTCGCCGGAGGTGAGCGTGGTGGCTCCTTCCACCCCCGTGCCCGCGCCCATCGACCTCAATGCCACGCCGGTGGCCGGTGCCTCGTCATCCTAAGGGACCAGGAAATGTGCAGGGAAGATGCCAGCCGGCGTGCTCCCCGGCGCTCGCAACTTGTTCGACAGAATGCCGGCGGCCACCGCCGATGAGACGGCCGACCGTTTCATGGAGAGCATCATCTTCGAGGGTGGTTCGGCCGCCGCTGGCGGTTCCACCACGGCTGGCTACGATCCCGATGAGACCCAAAGCCAGGACAGCCGAGGGTCGTTCACGCCAGCTGCCTATGATCAAGCTAGCATATACGACGCCTTCATGCAAGATCAGGTCGGCCTGGACCTGGACGGCTTCCCGCTGGACCACGAGTTTCCAGAGGACTACGGCCTCTAGGAAGAGGATGAGTTGGACATCGACGGGGAGCCTTTGTTGAGGACGAGCTCAGCAACCAAGCCGTCGGGGTGAAGCCGAAGCGCAAGAGCAAGCGGACGAAGGCATACACGGCGGCCGAGGACAAGCTCCTTTGTGAGTGCTGGAGGGACATTGGGCAAGACCCCAAGGTCGGCGCCGAACAAAGGCATCAACCTTTTGGATTCGTGTCCACCGTGAGTACCATGAGCGCAAGAAGTTTGCGTCGTACCAAATGCAAAGCACGCACGGGTGGGTATCCATTTCGGAGCGATGTAGGGTGATCCAGCAAGAGTGCAACAAGTTTTGTGCCACTCTTGAGAGCATCAAGGCACGCCCCGTGAGCGGCATCGGTATACAAGACATGGTATGCATGCGGCCTCTTCATTTTCTTTTCGTTTTGCATGTCCATTTGCATACCCATTTGCCCATATGCTTGCATGCTATCCATTTGTAGGCGTTCCAAGCTTTGGAGGCTTTCAAGGTCGAACATGAGGCAAGTCCTTTAACTTATCCCATTGTTGGAGGGTCATCAACGGGGAGGAGAAGTTCAAGGCGCAATATGCCACCCTCATGGCGCGTGGGGGGAAGAAAGCCATTGAGGAGGTTGGGGAGGGCGAGAAGCCACGGCGGCCGGGGGGAGACCAACTCCAAGAAGGAGGACAAGCGGGATGTGGCGTCCAACGCCTTGATAGCTGCCATGAAGGGCATGATGACCAAGAAGGACTCAAGGGAGGAGAAGCGCTGGCAAGACAAGGAAGAGCAAATGAACACCTTCATGGAGATCCAAAGGAGAAGGCTTCATATGGAGGCAGAGAAGCAAGCGAGGATGCTTGAGATGGAGGCGGAGAAGCAAGCGAGGATGCTCGAGATCGAGGCCGCCAATGCCAAGACTAAGGCGAAAGAAGTAGCTATCGCTAGCATGATGACGGGGGTGGAGATCATGAAGGTGGACCTCAACACCGTGTCGCCGAGGAAGAGGTCAATGGTTCGAGAAGATGCAGGCCAACATGCTCAAATTTGACGAGTGATCTATGGTGGCAGGCGCCATCCTTTTTTGTATGCCAGAAGTGTGCTGGCATGACCACGGCCGAGATGGCGTGGTCAAACTACTGACTTTTTTATGTGCTGGCATGTATGCCGGCCGCTGGCAAACGCGCCAGCAAGACTGTGTGATGGTCTTTTTGGAGGCTGACATTGTATTCGGCCGCTGGCATGGTACCGACATGAACTTTAGGCGACGGCATGGTCGCTGACATGATCTATAACCGTGGGCCTTTTAAATTTGTACGTGGACATAAAACGGGTCGCTTGTGTCGGGCACACGGACGACCTAAAAAAAATAGACGGACACCAAACAGACGGCCGATCCAAATGAATAAAAAACAAACAAAATCACCATCAGTTTGGATTGACGCGTTGAAGTTGCTCTTACGTTTCGTTTCCATTGCCTCTCACGGGAACCAAACATGTCCTACGGACGACGGTCAAACCGGCGAACACCCGGTCTGACAGGTGAAAACCTGGACCGTCTGGCTCACCGGTTTCATAACCGGTCCTGTTTTTTAAACTAAGCGTGAAACATTCCTCGGCCATTGACATGGTGCACAATTTTTTTGTAACTAAAAAGAAGTCTAAACCATGATGTAAAAAAAAGTCTAAACCATAAGGCGCGAGGCGATATTCAACGCTAACCTGAATGAATCGACTGCAATTCTTGATCTCGAATGGCATAGCGGATCGGCTCATTAGGTGGCAGCCACCTATGCTGAGATACGCGGCCGCGGGCAAGCTCACCAAACGAATAATAAATCAAGCGACGCGCTTACCATCCATCATCGTCGCTTCTTCTCCTCCTCGCCCACATCCTTGCAGCCTCATTCATCGCAAGAATTGCAGCTCCCAAGCCACGCTTGATCCTACCCCGCGCAGCAATGCGGGACCTGTCCTGCTTCGGCGACGGCTCTGTCGCAGTCTCCGCCGCGTCGGCGGCCTCTGTCTCCGGCCGCGGCTGCGCGCTCGACCGCTCGCTGCAGGCGGCGACCACCAGCGTGTATAACGCGTCTCTGTCCTCCGGCAAGGGGATCCTCATCCGGGTCACGTGGAGCCGGAGCACCGCCGGAGCCCCGGGGCTAACCGTCGCCTTCGACAACGTGGTGTCGTCGTCAAGGAGCGCCACCCAGCAGCACGTGCTGCGGAAGAAACGCGGGAGCAGGTCCATCGTCACCGATTCCGGCACGGCCGTCGGCGTCCATTGGGACGTCACGGGGGCCGAGTACTCCTCCTCCCCGGAGCCCTCCGGCGGCGACTACTACCTCGCGGTCGTCGCAGACGCCGAGCTCGCCCTCCTCCTCGGCGCGGGCGACCTATCCCGCCGATTCGCCTCCGGTCCTGCCGCCGCCACTGGGCACCTCGTGAGCCGGCGCGAGCAGCTGCGCTGCGCCGACGCCGAGGCCACGGCCGCGCACGCCACCCGGTGCAGGTTCCGCGAGGGCGGGGAGGAGCACGAGGTGGCGGTGCGCGCGTGCGGCGGCAGGGGCGGTGTGGAGGGGAAGGTGCGCGTCAGCATCGACGGAGAGGAGGTGGCGGGGGTGCGGCGAGTTGGGTGGGGATTCCGCGGCAACCGCGCGGTCCTGCTGGCCGACGGGGAGGTGGTTGACGTCATGTGGGATGTGCACGACTGGTGGTTCGGCCGCCGCGGCGGCGGCGCCGGGGCGCAGTTCATGGTGAGGTCGAGGGCGGAGGAGGGGAGACTGTGGATGGCCGACCAGCCGTCGGCAGCACCGCCCGGCGGCGTCTTCTTGCATGTGCAGTGCTACCGGCGTTGATGGTTGACTTCCTTGCAACAACCATTTCATTTCATGATTTTCTATATTGAGTTGCTCATTCTGTCAATGTACTTCGTCAATGAAATACATGTAGATATTGTTCATTACCATAGCCAACACCGAGAGTTTGAAACAAACATAGGGTCTCAACTTTTACAAACAAACCAGTCAAATGAAAACTCACATAAAATCAATTGATTTCATGAATAAAAATTGTACTACTATAAATACATCAGCTGCACATAATAAAGCGCACCCAGTGTAGATTTTTATTGTTGTTGGCAAAAACAGTGTAGATTAAAAGTGCAACTGCAGAGCAAAATACAAGAATAGAGTGGTCCTGTAAATTGCAATCAAATGTACACGATTGTACATAACAAAATACAATAGCTGCACGTTTTTAGAAATTAGCAGCTTATGTATATTAAATGAACTGCACATCAAATTAAATCGGTTGATATTACAAAAAAAATTATCAACTGATTATCAGAGTTTTCTGCCTTTTTTCGGAAAGAACTTTTTTCAATCCTCTAAGGTAAAGCAAACCTGAAAATTGCTAACTAGCATCCCCGGGCCCTACATGTTATCCTCACGACAAAGGACATGACCTGGCTATATGTGTATTCTGCGATGTTACCGGAGTAAAATCAAAACAAAGGAAGTATGAAATGTATCCAGCCTAACACATATATACGCATGATGATGAGAGAGTGTATTTTTAGTTAATTATCATTACAATTATCTGGGCTGAAGAGATGATGGCTCACAGAAAGCTAATTCCACATCTTTGCAACTGATTCCTGGTACAATCAAATTAAAATGTGACGCTTACATTGGCTCAGGGAAATTCATTCTGAGATCAAGCAGAAACGTTTTCTTTCTCCGCCACGATGCTGTCAAGTAATGACTCGCATGCATCTTCCAGCAGATCCAGTACCTGAAAATCATTGCCCAAAGAATGTTTAGAACATACCCTTTTTTTTCTAGAACTCGCAGGAGAGATCGGGATAGACCAAACTTGACATAGGAGGAGTCCATAAAGAGAGACCTAAAGAACTGGAATATCACCAAAGAACTAGCCATGGACAGACGTGCATGGAAGTTAGTCATCCACGTGTCAGAACCGGGTTTCAACTCTAGCCTACCCCAACTTCTCTGGGACTGAAAGGCTTTGTTGTTGTTGTTGCTGCTGCTGCTGCTGCTGGAACACTCCATTAAGAAAACCGCATGATCCTGGCTAGCTTGTAAAATAATTACTGCACCTATATCTAAATGGTTTCAAGTAGGAACTTCTCATGGTGGCCATCTGCAAACTGAAGAAAGAAATGCCACAAGGAAATCAAGGAAGAGGGGCAAACAAATAATTGTTTTTTGTATTGGTCTCTGTCATGTGGGGCACGTCCTACAGGCGTGGGCCACGCGGCCAGGAGCAGCAGCCGTCGGCCGCATCAGGCGAGGCGTAGGCTGGGCAGGAGTCCTGGTCCTGATACATTAGTTCCTAGAATAAAAGACTAGTTTGTTACGTATAGGTTTCTAGTTTGTTAGCAGCCCATGGGGCCTTTATATATCGTATAATCAGCACCCTTTGAGGGCAAGCAATAAAGTTATTATCTCCTACCTCTTCCTCCGTCTCCTATCCTCTCCTCCCGCACCATTGAGCAGCCAGGCAAAAACCCTAGCGCTCCTATCCACCGAGACTACGAACTACGTAGTCGAGGCCCCGCTGTCTTGGGCACTGAGGCCCTTGACAACTTGGTATCAGGTTCCAGCCGCTCCTCGGCCTCCTCCACGCTGCACCCGCCGCCCCGCCCACCTCCATCGCCGCCATCCGCCGCCGCCTCGGTTTCTTCCGCCATGTCGGAACCCACCACCGCTGATTTGGCCAAGATGATCGAAGCCCTGACTGCAACCGTGACATCCCTGCAGTCGTCCGTGGCAGCCCTCCAGAAGGAGAAGTCGGCCTCCTCGTCAGCCGCCGATATCAGCCACGACGGACAGCACCACAACGATCGGCCCCCGCGGTTTGAGAAGATGGACTTCCCCAAGTTCGACGGCAAGTCCGACCCGCTCGCTTTCCTCAACAGATGCGAGTCCTTCTTCCATCAACAACGGATCGCCGAGGAGGAGAAAGTCTGGATGGCGTCATACAACCTCGAGGGTTCTGCCCAGCTGTGGTACATGCAGGTCCAGCGTGACGAGGGCACTCCGCCGTGGCGCCGCTTTTCCGAGCTGCTCAACCTCCGCTTCGGGCCTCCTCTGCGCGCGAACCCGCTGGGCGAACTGATGGCGTGCAAGCGCACGACGTCCGTCGTCGACTTCCAGGAGCGGTTTGAGGCGCTCCTTCCCCGGGCAGGCTCCTTGTCGGAAACGCAGAAAGTTCAGATCTTCACCGCAGGCCTCCAGCCACCCCTTAGCCTCGACGTGGAAATCCATAACCCGCAGTCCCTCGCCGTCGCCATGAGCCTCGCCCGCAAATTGGAGCTGCGCGACCAGTGCGCGCTTTCCGCCGCGCCACCGGTGCGTTTTCCGCAGAAGGGCATTCTGCCGACGCCAGGACCACGCCTCGCGCCCCCCGCACCGGCCCCACCAGCCGCACCCCAGCATGGCCACAGTCTGCCGGACGGGCGCCCAATCAAACATCTCTCCCAGACAGAGATGGAGGAACGCCGTCGCCTGGGCCTATGCTTCAACTGTAACGAGAAGTTTGGCATGGGCCACAACCGCGTGTGCCAGCGCATCTTTCTCCTCGACTTAGCGCCGGACGACGACGACGACGACGCGGCCTCCGCTACTGATGATGCATCGCGGGCCGACCCTCAGATCTCGCTCCACGCAATCTCCGGGGTGCGCACGAGCGAAACCATGCAGATGCATATTACTCTCGGGGGTGTCTCCCTCCTCGCCCTGATCGACTCAGGCTCCACCCACAACTTCATCGCCGAGGAGGCGGCCGCTCGTGCTACGCTGCCATCCCCCACCACCGAGAAGATGCGCGTCACGGTGGCCAACGGCGAGCGCGTTCCGTGCCAGGGCGCGTACCGCGTCGTGCCCTTCCGCATCGGCCAAGAGGAGTTCTCGGAGGATTTCCTCGCCTTGCCGCTCGCGGGCTACGACATCGTCCTGGGCACGCAGTGGCTGGCGACGCTCGGACCGATCCTGTGGGATTTCCGCGCCCTCTCCATGACATTCTGGCGGAGGGGCCATCGGGTGTGCTGGCGCGACATTGCAGGACCGGACGGGCCAGCCCTGAAATCATGCAGCGGCCGCGACTTCCTCGACGCCATCATCACCGAGTTCGACGGCATCTTCGCCGAACCCTCCGGCGTGCCACCGCCCCGCAGCCGCGACCACGGCATCACCCTGCTGCCCGGTTCCGCCCCGGTGGCCGTCCGTCCGTATCGCTACACGGCCGCGCATAAGGACGAGCTGGAGCGTCAGTGCGCCGCCATGCTCGCTCAGGGCATCATCCGAGCGAGTTGTTCCGCATTCTCGTCCCCGGTACTGCTGGTCCGCAAGGCCGACGGGTCCTGGCGCTTCTGCATCGACTACCGCGCCCTAAACGCCATTACTGTCAAGAATGCGTTTCCGATCCCGGTGGTGGACGAACTCCTCGACGAGCTCCGGCACGCTCGTTTCTTCACCAAGCTCGACTTGCGCTCCGGCTACCACCAGGTGCGGATGCGTGCGGAGGACATCCCGAAGACCGCCTTCCGTACTCATGACGGCCTCTACGAGTTCCTGGTGATGCCGTTCGGCCTCTGCAACGCGCCGGCAACGTTCCAGGCCCTCATGAACGATCTGCTGCGGCCGTACCTGCGCCGTTTTGTTCTCGTCTTCTTTGACGACATCCTCATTTTCAGCGAGACATGGGCTGACCATCTCCGACATGTGCGCACCGTCTTCACCGTCCTGCACCAGCACCGGCTCTTCGTCAAGCGATCCAAATGCGCATTCGCCGTCGAGTCGATCTCATACCTGGGTCACACCATCTCCGCTGCAGGAGTGGCCATGGATCTGGAAAAGGTGCAGGCAGTGGCCGAATGGCCGCAACCACGCTCGGCGCGCGCGGTTCGGGGGTTTCTCGGCCTTGCGGGGTACTACCGCAAGTTTGTCAAGGAGTTTGGCGTGGTTGCCGC